GATAGACCGGCTGCACAGCCTAAACTCTGTGGAACTGGTTTGGGGAAGGAAAGCAATGCTTGCAGTGGGTCAAAAAGCACTTCCATCTAACTTTTGAACCACTGGACCAATTTTTATGATTTTGACATATTTTTTATACTGTGTATGCTGGTTCAGAATATGTAAGTTTTATGCGAATGTGTTATATACTTTTAAAGTTATGAATATTGTGTAAAACTGTGTATTTTCCTGCCTGTGATAATTACATTAGCCCATTGTGTACAGGAATTCTATCACAGGCAGAGGAGAGGATTTTGCTGGAATGAATGGGAGTGTTTAACTGTATTATACATGTTTGATTGGCTGTTCTACAAAACCATGTGGGTGGCAACATTGTGTAAAAATGTGTATATAAGAAACAATAAAACCACAGCTCTGACTGCTCCTGTTTTGACCCTCAACATAGAGCCTCGTCTCACGATTGGGGGAAACGACTGCATCTACACTGGGGATTGCTATACTCTACATACTCCCCTAGCTTTAATCACTTAGCTCTTTTAAGAGCTTGTTCCAGCTTTGCACTCTGCAGGAAGAGAGGTTCGGTCTGCAGTGCTTATGGTGTCTGGAGAAGTGCTTGGAGCCCTCGGGAAGCACTAGGAGCATCCATCTATGGAGGTACTCGGTTGGAGTACTAGGAGCTCCGTTACAACGTTCATGACAGAAGAATTATAAAAAGACTGTTGCCAGGAGAAAGCTTCTTCTTTATGAAAAGACCATGTCAGCACGGCTTTGGTCTGCAAAGCTGCATCTGAACAAACCACAAGGATTCTGGAATCAGGGCCGCCATCAGGGAATGACAACCGCAACGGTTGTCATGGGCCCGGCGGTCCTGGGGGGCCCGGACTGCTCAGGTCATCCGGGCCCCACATTCAGTGGGTACATACCGGGTCGCAGGGTGCCCTGCGACCCGGTATGTACCCACAGGGCCAGCCTCTTCTCCTGGGGGGCCCAGCAGCCGGTCACCTCAGGGCCCCCCATAGGCTGTCCCTTAAAGCTGGCCGGCGCGCGAGGGAGCACTCTCTGTGTGCTTCCTCTTCAGCTCCCTCGGGCGCCGCGTACTGATGCCAGCACCGGAAGATGACGTCATCTTCCGGCTCCGGCATCAGTACGGTGCGCGAGGGAGCTGAAGAGGAAACACACATAGAGTGCTCCCTCGTGCGCCGGCCCGCCGGCCTGCCCGCCCGCCCGCCGCCGGGTGTCGGGGGGGGGAGGAGGAATGAAATTTGAAGGGGGGGGGAAATGGAATTTGAGAGGGGGAGTAAAATGGGAGGAGGGGAGGAATTAAATGGGAAGGAGGGGGGAGGAATGAAATGGGAGGGGGGAGAAATGAAATTTATGGGAGGGGGGGAGGAATGAAATTTGAGGAGGGGAAGAAATGAAATTTGAGGGAGGGGGGGGACAGGAATGAAATTGAGGGGAGGGGGAGAGGAAATGAAATTTGAGGGGGGGAGGGAGAGGAATTACATTTGAGGGTGAGGGGGGAGAGGAAGGAAATTTGAGGAGGGAGGGGGGGGGAGGAAGGAAATTTGAGGGGGGAGAGGAAGGAAATTTGAGGGAGGGAGGGGGGAGAGGAAGGAAATTTGAGGGAGGGAGAGAGGAAGGAAATTTGAGGGAGGGGGAGAGGAAGGAAATTTGAGGGACGGGGGGAGAGAAAGGAAATTTGAGGGACGGGGGAGAGGAAGAAAATTTGAGGGACGGGGAGAGGAAGGAAATTTGAGGGACAGGAAGGAAATTGGAGGGGAGAGGAAGGAAATTGGAGGGGAGAGGAAGGAAATGAGAGGGAGGGGGAGAAGAAGGAAATTGGAGGGGGGAAGAAGGAAATTGGAGAGAGGGAGGGAGGGGGAGAAGAAGGAAATTGGAGGGAGAGGGGGGGAGAAGGAAATTGACGGGGGGAGGGGGAGAGATTGACATCCATCACACACAATGCACCCCTTGCACACAGAAAAACACACAATGCATTACACACAGACACACGTACACAAGCAATGCAGACATCCCTTACACACAGCAACACACAATGCACCCCTTACACACACTCAATGCATCCCTTACAGACGCACACACTGCATCCCATACATACACAAACTCATCTTGCAGCCCTTACACATACAAACACAGATTCACACAATGCATTCCTTACACACATCAGGACATCCCCCACACACACACTCCACTCCCTGTGAACAAACTCATTGGTGGAACATGAAGGTGGACCCTGGGACCCAGACCTTGAGCTGTGTAAAGGGCCCTCAAAAAAATGGAGCTGCTTCCCGTTCTCCCAGAACAGTGATTTTTGTGACCACAGTTACAAACCGCCTCCAGAGAGCCTGTTGTACACCAGACCAGTGGAGCCAGACTGCAGCTAGAGCCCATCATCATCCTCATCTGGTTGTAAGTAGGCAATCTAGTATATTATTCGTGGCACTAATCTCTAATTTACCTCACATTAAAGAAACACTATAGTCCCCAGAACCACTGCAGCTTAATGTAGTGGTTCTGGTGTCTATAGCCTGTCCCTGCAGGCCTTTTAATGTAAACACAGCGGCACTGCAGCACTGGTGTTAGTTAACATGGCAGATCATATGGGTGGGGCATTGTGATGTCCCATTGTGATGGGATTCGGGGGGGAGGGACAGCACTTTGGGCGGACTGGGGGGCCAGGGGGGCCCAGACCTTGAGCTGTGTCAGGGGCCCCAACATTTCTGATGGCAGCCCTGTCTGGAATAATGTCTTTTGGACAGATGAGAACAAAGTGAAGATGTTTGCTAGAATGCACAGTACCATGTTTGGTGAAAAGCAAACACAACATATCAGCACACACACCTCTTACCAACTACAAAGCACGTTGGTTGGGTTGTGGAGATTTGATCTAGTTTTGCAGTTACAGGACCTGGTAAGCTTGCAGTCATTGAGTAGACCGTGAACTCTTCTGTATACCAAAGTATTCTAGAATCAAATGTGAGGCCATCTGTCCTACAACTAAAGAAATTGGGTCATGCAACAGGACAATGATCCCAAACATACCAGCAACTGTACAATAGAATGGCTAAGAAAAATCAAAAAAATCAAGGTGCATACTTACATGCAAAGCAGATGTACAGGCTAGCAGACAGAAAATCTCACTGACTCACACAAGCTCACTAATACAAAAACACAATCTCTCTGACACACACAGACAAGCTAACTGTTATACACACACACAAACTAAGTACAGACAAACTCTGTGACACACACATAAGCATACTAGAAACAAACTCACTGGAATACACACAGAAGCTTACTACAGACAAACTAATTGATATACATAAAGAAGCTTACTAAGACAAGTTCACTGAAACACACATGCTCTCTACAGACAATTTCACTGTCAAACACATACATATTCACTACAAACAAACTTACTGACACACACCTACAAGCTCAGTCACTAACAGCACTGGTACACACAAGAGCACTCTCAGTCATGAGCTGCTTGGTTATTGAATGCTACCTGGGAGGTGTCACTGTTTTACAGTCTCTTTCTGACAGCGTGGTCACACAAGCTTGAGTGCAGGGGGGAAGTGGAGAAGAGACTCCAAAAAGCTATTGGGAATTGTGAAGGGAGACCTGCAATGCTCACTCCTGCCGCTGGCTGCATCAGCCAGCGGTACCTCCGCACTAGTATTGTAATGTAAGGTCTGCCTTACCAGCCCCACGTGCCATAGTCCACCAGGAAATTTACCATTATCCAGCATGAACAAGCCTAGCCCTGGTTCTGACTCTGAAGGAGAGGAGACACCTTCTCTATCATAATCTTTGCTGACCATAGAAACTGGTAGTCATGGGGAATAGAAAGTACACCCTCGTTCAATTCTATGGTTTTAAATATCAAGGCTTGATAACAATCATCAGTTCATTAGCACGTATAAAACAATTAGGTAAATAAATCCTCTTATGATCAGCAACATTTGACAAATTACACCGTGTCGTGATTTATTTAACAAAAATAAAGCCAAGATGGAGAAGCCATAATGGCACTGACAAACTCAACTCAGAAAGTATATGGCTTGAACTAGCTGTGGTGGAAGAAGATACATTGCCAGTTATTGTGGAACTAGTCTGAATGGGGCAAAACTATCTGGCTGTATACAGGGCCATTAGGTTATTAGGACTGCACAATCTAGACATTGCTCATGCGATTTACCAATTTCCAAATTTTACATTTCAGGCTCTGAACATGCCTAAATTTGGTCTGGATTTAAGCCAGACAGAATGCTGCTGTAAGGCTGGACCACATGCTTCTAATCCTAGCCAAATTTAAAAGACAAAAACTATTTGCCAGCAGGTAGCTTTTGGATTCAGTTTGCAAATAGTTTACAATTCTCTGTGGTGTGAATGTACATATGTGGAGGCTGGATGAGCCTGCTAGTCAGCCACTACATTAAAAAAATAAAAGGAAAATAAATGAAAAGACTATGTGGTCAGTTATAAATCTTTATATGCTCCATCCTGGCATGGATCAACCAATCAGAGCGCTCTTACTAACATTGCATAGAGTGGGAAATAATAACTCACAAAACATAGGAAAGCCTACTTAGGCACTTTCCCCACTATGAGAGCTCAGTCTGTGGTAAGCCTTCAGAGTACCAAAATGGATTACTTATACTTTGTCTGCATTGTTCAATTTGTTTGTTCTTTTTTTTTTCTTAATCTGTTTTTTCTTTTATTTTCATTGGATGCATTAGAAAATAGGAATTTTTATCTTTCGGGGCAGAAAAACAGAAGAATTAGAGGAAAAGTAGACTTCTGATGGTGTGCATAATTTTTATAAGGGGGTAAACCTCCCTTGTTTATTCAATTAGAGCCATCACTCGCCACCATGAATATGGATATTTGGGCCCCACCTGCTGCCAATGGGTGGGGCCAGGGGTGTACACTAGTTTTTCCCTCATGATTATTATGCTGGTCTCAATGCATTGACCATGTGTAGGGGCAGGATCCCAATTTATTCTGCCCACAGCCATGGGTATTGGGTTGGGGCTGTGGACAGAATAAATTGGGATCCTGCCCCTACACATGGTCAATGCATTGAGACCAGCATAATAATCATGAGGGAAAAACTAGTGTACACCCCTGGCCCCACCCATTGGCAGCAGGTGGGGCCCAAATATCCATATTCATGGTGGCGAGTGATGGCTCTAATTGAATAAACAAGGGAGGTTTACCCCCTTGTAAAAATTATGCAATGGCTGCCTAGTTGCTAGTTTTGAATGTTTGGGAGATATGACCCCACCTGCCACATGGGATCATATATGTAGCCTCCACTATATTAATATGGGCATATGATGGACCTCCATAGGCTGTTAATATGGCTAGCTAGCCACCACATAGTTCATCCTCCCGCCATCAAGGGTTATTTAACTACTACCTTCTGGCTAGTAGAGTTCCCATCAGTCAAATAGTGCTTAAAATTATCGTTTGCTTGCACAAAGGAAAGTGAATGATAGCATTGATAGCAGTTGTCTACTTCAGCAACCCATACAGCAGGAAACACTCTTGGCCTCATCTTCATCAATCTCTGTACCACCTCTAATCTCTCCACTGTTCCATTTCCTTTATCTCACCATCCTCAACTTTCCAATCTCGCAGAAACTTCAACTGCCTTGACCGCCAGCATTTCTCCACCAAACTCCAAACTCTCATTTTACCCATCTCAAATAGAGTTGAGCGGACATCTGGATGCTCGGGTCCGGCGGGTTCGGCTGAACTTTGAAAAAAAGTCTGGGATCGGGTTCGAACTTAACCCCGAACTTGACCTCGAACTTGACCACGAACCCCATTGAAGTCAATGGGGACCCGAACTTTTGGCCACAAAAGTGCCTCTAAAAACTCCTGGAAAGGGCTAGAGAGCTGCAAAAGTAAGTAAAATGGGGGGTAAGAGTAGGACAAATGCCCTGCAAACAAATATGTATAGGGAAATCACTTAAAATAACATAACCTTTAAAAATACAGCTGAGCCATAAAATACCACTAGATGGAATCTTTGATTTTAGATTTGGAAGAACATAAATCAAAATCTAAAGCATTGCTGTCAGGAGGATCACCAGAATTATCAATTTGAGAGAGGGTTGGAGTGCAAGGTATTCTCTTTCATTGTTCAAACTGAGCTCAACTCCTGATGCATGGAGAAAAGGCCTTCACAAGCCTCTGCAAATGTGTACATAGTTTATACTAAGTGACCCATAGGTTGAGGAGGTGGTGACCATGGCAGAGTAGGTGGAAGCGGTGGTGGAGGAGGAGGATGAGGTAGCCAACATTCTCATGAGGCGGTGAGCGGGAAGGCCGAAGTTACGCACAGACAGACGAGCAGCAGCAGGGTGAGAACGCCAAAAGCACACACAGATGGCCCAAACTTTCTGCAGCAGCTCTGATAAATCTGGGTATACGGTAGGCGGAAGTGGCGGTGGTTGAGGAGGAGGAGGAGGAGGTAGCCAACACTGTTTTATTTGGGGGGGATAGCCCCCAACATATTGGGACATATAAAAAAAGAAAACAAAGAATAAGTGCACTTGAGTATAACAATGGCTGGGTGAGGCCGGTATAAATGTCTATTCTGAACAAGGTACAGCCAAGTCTGGTGGTATCCATGCCTGGTTCATTTTAATAAATGTGAGCTTGTCCACGTAAGCTGTGGAAAGGCAGCTGTGCTTGTCTGTGATAACGCCCCCTGCCATGCTAAGCCCATGTTCAGACAATACCCTGGCTGCAATAACTGGCTAAGGGGGTACTTTCTCTTTCTCTTCAGTGTTTGGGAGATGGACAGCTGAACGCTTCCATAGGACAGTGTGGAGATGCTTGGGGACAGTAGCGGACGTGGTGGCGTTGCTGCCACATCCTCTGTTTGCAGGGTGGCAGGTGCCACTGTGACTCCAGAGGTGGAGGAAGAGGCCGAGACAGCAGCAGAAGAGGAAGCAGGAGGAGCCTGAGACCTTTCTTTGTTTTTGAGGTGCTTACTCCACTGCAGCTCGTACTTTGCATGTAGATGCCTGGTCATGCAGGTTGTGTTCAGGTTTAGCACGTGTATGCCTTGCTTCAGGCTCTGATTGCACAGAGTGCAAACCACTCACGTCTTGTCGTCAGCACATTGTCTGAAGGACTGCCACGCCAGAGAACTCCTTGGAGCTGACTTTGGTGTGCTCGGTCCCGGGTGTGGTGGGCAGTAGCAGGAGTACCGTCTAGGGGCCGGCCGATCTGCTTTTGCACCCTGCTCCCTCTTATGCTGTGCTGTGCCTCTGTTCGACCACTGCCTCTTCCTCCAAACTGGACACGTCACTCGCATGAGGTCTAGGACCTCATCATCCTCCCATCTTCCACCCACTCCTCAACCTTGCCCTCCTTGCCAGTCTGCACACTGCTGAAAGCCACAGCAGTTGGCACCTGTGTTTCGTCATTATCAGAGATGTGCTGCGGTAGTCCTTGCATGTCCACATCCTCACACATAAGTGGCTGTGCATCACCGCACTCAATCCCTCCCACTTCCGGGGCAGGGCTTGGTGGATGGCCCATGGAAACCCCACCAGCAGAGTCATCAAAAAAAAAGCATTGTCAGCCATCCAATCTACTATCGCCTTTACTTGTTCTGGCCTCACCATTCGTAGAGCGGTATTCGGGCCTACCAAATAACGCTGAAGTTCTGTCGCGTACTCACACATGAGGAAGGTGTTTCACGTGTTCATGTACCTGGCACAGATCGACCACGTCCTCTCCTTGTAACAGGGATTCCACCAACACCAGAAGCACCACGACCAGGGCCACGTCCTTTATTTGACGCTCTCCTCATTCTTTGCGTTCACCCACCAAACAAACAGATTTTTTATGTCAGGCGACAATGTAACCGCCAACAGTCAACAATTTTAGTTTTTTTTGTTTATTGGCCTGCAAATGTACTATTTAGCACCAAAAAAAATATAATTTTTGAAAGTGCGATGTAACCACACTATTAGACGCTTCGATTTGACTCTCAGATATGAAGAGCAGGCCCCAAAATTTACTATTTAGCAGATTAGCAGCAAAACAATTAGAGTGTTTACAAATGCGCTGTAAGCGCACTATTAGACGCTTCTATTTGACTCTCAGATATGAAGTGCATGCCCCAAAATGTACTATTTAGCAGATTGGCACCCAGAAAATTAGAATTTTTACAACTGCACTGTAAGCACACTATTAGATGCTTCAATTTGACTCTCAAATATGAAGAGCAGGACTCAAAATGTATTATTTAGCAGATTAGCACCCAGAAAATAAGAATGTTTACCACTGCGCTTCTATTTGACTCTCAGATATGAAGTGCACACCCCAAAATGTACTATTTAGCAGATTAGCAGCAAAACAATTAGAATGTTTACCACTACGCTGTAAGAACACTATTAGACGCTTTTATTTGACTCTCAGATATGAAGAGCAGGCCCCAAAATATACTATTTAGCAGATTAGCAGCAAAATAATTGCAATGTTTAGCACTGCACTGTAAGCACACTATTAGACGCTTCTATTTGACTCTCAGATATGAAGAGAGGGCCCCAAAATGTACTATTTAGCAGGTTACCAGCAAAACAATTAGAATGTTTACCACTGCACACACTATTAGACGCTTCGATTTGACTTTACAGTCCGGGTTTGATCAACTCTAATCTCAATCTCAATCTAACTTGCCCTAACTCTGCAACCTCACTCTACAATTTAACTATCTCTTCTGAACTCAACATAATGGCACCTCCCACAATTAAACACAGCAAGTACCCCCAATTACAACCCTAGCACACCAAGCTGACCCGTTACCTCCAAAAATATTCTAGAACTGCTGAACGCTGCTGGAGACAGTCTCACTTTGCATCTAACTTCCTCCACTATAAATGTATGCTGCGCTCCTACAGCCTGGCTCTTTCCGCTGCAAAAGTAAATTACTTTAACACCCTCATAAGTACACTGTCCCATCAACCCAAACACCTCTTCTTCGCCCCTTTACTCCTCCTCCTTCTACCACCTTGTCCGCCACAAACTTTGCATCTCACTTTTCTGAGAAGATCTCTACAATCAGAGAAGAGATCTCTAATTTATCTCCTTCCCCTACTAATACATCACCGAACCCCACTCCCTCCACCATTATACACTCATTCGCACCTGCTTTAGCAGAAGAGGTTTCTGCTCTGCTCCGGTCCTCCCTCTCCACCACCTGTTCCCTTAATCCTATTCCCTCATATCGTTTCCCGCACTTTGTGTCCCTCTCTTGCTCTCCTCACATTTCCCTCACCCTTCAAACATGCAACTGTAACCCCAATTCTGAAAAAGCCCAGCCTTGACCCCAACTCCCCATCCAACTACCGCCCTATCTCGCTGCTGGCATTTGCCTCCAAGAGTTGTGTACACCAGACTGACTGACTTTTTCTTGAATCCAACTCTCTGCTTGACCCCCTTCAGTCTGGATTCCGCGCTGGTCATTCTTTTGAAACAGCTGTGACCAAAGTATCCACTGATTTAATTGCTGCTAAATCCCGAGGCCATTACTCTATCCTAATTCTCCTTGATCTTTCTGCTGCCTTTGACACTGTTGATCATCAACAGCTTCTTTGCACTCTCCGTGATTTTTGTCTACTTGATACTGCTTTCTCCTGGTGCTCCCCCTACCTCTTCTATCGCTCTTTCAGTGTTTATTTCTCTGACTCTGCCTCTTCCCCCCAACCACTCTCTGTCGGCATCCCCCAAGGTTCTGTCCTTGTTCCCCTACTGTTCTCTATCTATACTGCCTCCCTTGGTAAACTCATCAGCTCCTTTGACTTCTGTTATCATTTCTATGCAGATGACACACAAATCTACCTGTCTTCTCCTGATCTCTCCCCGCCTATCTTAACTCGTGTCTCTGACTGCCTTTCTGTGATTTCCAACTGGATCGCTGCTCACTTCCTTAAATTTAACCTGTCCAAAACAGAACTTCTGGTCTTTCCTCCCTCAAATGTTACAACTCCCATGTCTGTCTGTCTCCAAGTCAACGGCGTTACCACCACCTCTGCCTCGTAGGCTTGCTGCGTGGGTGTTCTCTTTGATTTCAACCTCTCCTTCACCCCTTCATGTTCAATCAATCGCCAAATCCTGTTGCTTCCATATCAAAAACATAGCATGCATCCGCCCATATTTAACATCAGATGCAGCTAAGGTGTGGGTCCATGCTGTTGTTCTCTCTTGCCTTGACTACTGCAATACCCTTCTCAGTGGTCTTATGTGTTCCCAGATTGCACCACTGCAATCTATAATGAATGCAGCGCCGAGGCTCATTTGCACCTCCCACGCCTCCACGCTCTGTCAGTCCCTGCATTGGCTTCCAGTTAGATATAGGGCTCAACTTAAAATTCTGGTGCTTGCTTACAAGTCTCTACATAATGCTGCTCCAACCTACACCCTAATACACAAGTATTTCCCATTGAGGCCCCCACGCTCTGCAAAAGACCTACAATCCCCATCCTCTGTCCGTACTCCCACCTCTAATGCTCGCCTCCAAGATTTCTCCAGGGCTGCACCTCTTCTGTTGAACTCCCTTCCCGTCTCCGTAAGACATTCACCCAGTCTCCACTCATTCAAAAAAATCATTGAAAAGTCACTTCTTCAAGAAAACATATCAATTAAACTGTTATATCCCCCAACCCCTCATGACTCCTCTCCTGCAACTGTCAAAATTACCTACTAAGCCCTCAGTGAATACTTTTCTAACAACCTACTTTGTACCCCTACTTTTACCCTTTGTGTCACTATACCCCACTACCTCTGCTCATTGAGCAGGGCCACCTCTCTGTTCCTGTACGTCCAGTTGTCTGGTTACAATTACATGTCTGTTAGACCACCCATTGTACAGCGCTACGGAATCTGATGGCGCTATATAAATAATAAAATAAAAATAATAATAACCTGCGACTCTTTCGGGATGCATTTGGTTTTGGATTATGCTATGGTTTGTGCATCATCCACCTAAACTGTCAAACCACGAATCAAAGAAAAACAAGCTGTTTTATCCAGAATGTTATGTGTTTTAACAAATGACCGAAATTCATCCCAGAAGCATAACATCAATCAGTAATAGAGGGGTGAGGGAGGAGACGTTGCAGAAGATATCATTAAAGCCACAGATAGATAGAGCAATTTTCTTATTGTTTTTTTAAATATTTACTTTATTTTCTATTATGTTATTTTTTTAATGCAACATAAAATGATGGTGAGCTGCCCTGACTGCCCCCTCAGCTGCTATATCACACATCACATTTAATAGAAATGAGTCCAAAGCCAGTTGCCGTGTGACATTACTAGAGGACCAGGCTGGAACACACGCCACTGCCAGAGACTCTGATTGCTATGAAATAATTTCTTCTAATTAATAAAACACACATCTGATGTATCAGTAGCATTTTGTAAAAAGTAGACTTTTATTGATAAAGTGTTGCAGTCACCTGTTGAAATGCTGGATTCCATGTTATCATTTTTTTATTTATTGTTAAGTCTTGGAGAGATTGTTGATGATATTGTCCAACTTTAATGGTATCAATAGATTGGTCTGGGTTTACAATCCAGTTGAAAATATCAAACTGAGAATTGAAATCTCCATTTTCATCAAAATAAATATCTTCCCCCGCCGTGTTTATAAAATGAACTTTTCTTAAATATTTATTAACCTGCAAATAGAGATACAGTAGAAAACCTTTATTGAAACTATGGAGAATATTGAATGCTGTCATTGGCTGTTTTACATATCTTATTGGGGTATTTATGATGAAATGGAAATAGAGTACAATCTATGTTGGTCACCCAGATCGGAGCTATCAGGGGATGTAACTTTTGTGGGATTTTATGTGTTTTGGGTGTATTTTGAGGGTTTTGTTATATTGCCTGGTTCTGTACTGAGAGATAATTCAATTATATGTTTATGTGCTCAGACAATTAGCTCTCAGGTACAGAGAAGGATTCTGTAACTTGTAACTAGTCCCCTCTCAGGACCAGGAGAGGGATTATCCTGTTTGTGTGGGAGTGTCAGGGGCACGCTTTCCTGTGCCTGAAATTGTGTAAAAGCAGGCCATCTGGCCAGATTAAAACATTCCAGCTTGTACTCCCAGAACTATGTGTCTGGTTACTGGGAGAGATGGAAGGCAAGTACCGTTGGGCAGTATCCGGCATCGACACCCAGCTTCAGCAGCAGTTACAGGAGGTGCTGCACAGTTTGGATTACTCAACAGAAAAAGAGACAGAATGGAGAGTGATGCTCTGTACCGAACTCACCAGCCAGGGGTACAAGGAGCTTCGTTACAGTTACTTTACATTACAAGTGATTGTCACATCCTGTTCCTGGCTGTGAATCATTTCTGGCAATGGCTTCTGGTATCCAGTACTCTTTTTCTAATTCTTGTTTAGTTGTTCTTGGTTTTTCTGGTTTTCTAGTCTGTGTCTGGTTTTCTTTATTCTGGGTTTTCTCTGTTCATTCCTATATTCCGTTCCTGGAATTCACAGTCTCTTGGATTCCTTTAAAAGTTTGTTTTATGTTGCCACACCCTTTCCTTTTCCATTAATCCTTTTTTTCAGTTGGTTCCTGCAGGCGATTGCTACAAGTTATCTGCTTTTACTTACAGGTAAGTGCTGTGTGTGTTTTATAGTTGTTTATTTAGTCATGCAAATCTAGGCAGTAAGTTTCCCACCTTAATTGGAGGACTTTGACGCTGTTGGTGGGCCGCATACATCTTGGCCATTTATGTATGTCTACATCTCCAATGTTTTACATACATAGTGCTTAGTTAAGTCTCCTCTCATCTTGCCTAGTAACTCTTGTTTTATTTTGTCTTGTATTCCCAGATCATGTACAGTCCTGTCCTGCCCTGTTCTTGTTTTCCTCATGTCTTGGATACATGTTCTAGATTCTGCTTTCTGTCCTGCTCTGGTTCTGGGTTCTCCTAGTTTTGTCTTGTTTTCTTGCTTAGTGCCTATTTCCTTGTTTCTGTACTAGATACATATCTGCTGCAGAGCCTCCCTATCCAGTTCCTGGGAGGTCTGCTTCTGCATCAGGGTCCTGTTATGTGGCCGCACAAACGCTGGTGCTCAACACCAGGGGGCATGTGGTTACCCTCCACCAGGTCCTGAACATCCATTTCCACACAGTGACTCCTAATATCAAGATCAGGCATACTGGGTCCCGGTCAGCGGACCGCCACTCCTGACAGTAATTAATAGAGAAAAATAGGAGGGGCAGTAAAAATAATCTATATTTATTTATATATTTTATATTTAATAAATAAATATATAAAATAGATCTTTTTTACTGCTCTACTTTTCCTTCAAATGTTAACTTTTTTCCCCCTTTATCTGTGAGACAATGGCTGAAAAATTTGCCTAGAAGTGTACTGTATATATTGTAACGGATCATCTGGCACCCCAACTGGGAACCTCAGTTGAAGGATGCTCCTAGCGCTTCCTGAGGTCTCCAAACACTGCAGCAGGCACCATAAAAACCATAGTCTCCTCCAGAGAGCAAGGCAGGAACAAGCTCTTACAAGAGCTTAGTAGTGATTTAGCAATGGAGTATGACAAGCATAGCAATCCCTTGTAGCAGATTCCCCCAATAAGAGACGGCACTCCAAATTGAGGATGAAGTAGAACTGACTGTGCTGGCACATACAGCCTCTTTTATTATTCAATCCACAAACATAGTACCACCCACAGGGTTTTGAAATACAACCAATCAATCCATACAATACACACAGACACTCTCACCCAAAATCCTCCCCTCTGCCTGTGATATGATTACTGAACACAATGGTTAAAATAAATATCACAGGCAGAGAATACAGTTTTTACAAAATATTAATAACTTCAAAAATATACATGCCACAAACGTAAAAATTACATATTCGAACTCAGCACACTTTAATTATAAACAGCCAATTACATCCAGGGGTTAAAAAGTTAGCTGGAGGTCCCTTTTTGACCGACCGCAAGCATATTTTCATGCCCAAAACAGTTCCATAGATTTTGGCTGTGCGTTCGGTCTATTTCAGGCTGAAAAAACGACTAAGTCCCATAGCTGAATGGTCTCTGCGGCTGCAAAATCATTGTGAGAGAAGGTAAGGCTCAGCAGTGTTCGCAGAACCGTGTAGCCGATTTCCGTTCCATGAATTTGGCTACACACACCACTGACCGCATTGAATAAAAAAAGATGGCCGCCGCCACGTATTCGTTTGCGCGAACGGCGCCTCCCCAGCGTTTGGCAATTTACCTACAGCAGGCTCCCAGCCTGGGAGGTAAATTGCCTGCACACTTCCAGCTCTGGGTGGTCCGCCTGTGCAGTGAATGGCTCGGTAAGCCCCAATTACCGAACCATAAGGGAAAAAGCCATTTAAAAGTTATTTCCAAAGTCTGGGGACATTGGGGACACCATCTTAAAGGGGCAGTGTCCCAAACAAGTCTGGGGACACTGGGAACACCGTTTTGAAGGGGCCTTGTCCCAAATAGGTCTGGGGACACAGATTTAAAGGGGCATTGTCGCAAATTTTCACCATGCCCCAAAATGGTTCTTAAAGGGCCAGCAGCACCATACACATCCAATATGCCCAAATCATCTCTTTAAAGGGCAATACATTCCAGGGGCCATAGTCACATGGCAGGAGGCTGTCAACCTGTCTTCTCCAATGCCAAGTGGCGAGGTCGTTTTCGCCATATATATATATATATATATATATATAAAAAGAGAGAGAGAGAGAGAGCTTCACACCCCTCCCTTTTACAGCTCCACACCCCGTCCTAATAGGGCCCTATTTAATCTTGCATTGTTAATAGTCTCAGGTAGAATAATTTCCTAAATCAGTGGGTTAGTCTCATTCAGCATTGGGGTAGAGGGGGTCTGTAGAGGTCTGTAGTAGGGGGCTTAGGTGCTAAGGGGCTGTAGTTGGGAGTTAGGGGCTGTAGTGGGGAGTTAGGGGCTGTAGTAGGCAGTAAGAGGCTGTAATGGGTGTTTGTTGGTTTGTACAATGCTCCAGCGATATTTCAAGACCTGATCAAGAAATGTCCTAAGAGAATACCTCCATATGTTCGTGTTGGTGTACCTGGATGACATTCTCATCTATTCTCCAGACCATCGTACCCATCACAAACATGTGAAAAACGTGCTACAAACCCTGCTAAAAAATGGCCATTACTGTAAGTTAGAGAAGTGCCAGTTTGATCAACCGAAGTACAGTTCCTTGGATATGTAGTCCCCTTCTGGTTTTGAGATGAACCCACGCAAACTCGATGCAGTGTTACAGCAGTGGCCGTTACCCAAGGGTCTTAAAGCTGTAAAACGCTTTATTGCATTTGCTAATTATCGCAGGTTCATCAGAGGCTTCTCATCTGAAATTTCTCCTATCACCAACCTTACCCGAAAAGGAGCTAACAGTAATTCATGGCCAAAGGAAGCAATAGAGGCATTTGAAAAACTGAAATCTTTATTTGTCTCAGCACCTGTTTTAGCACATCCAAATCCTGCCAAACTGTTTATTTTAGAGGTTGATGCATCCGAGACAGGTGTAGGAGCCATTCTGTCTCAACAAGAAAACCCAGATAAACCTTTGTACTTTGCATCCCTGTGGGATTTTCTTAAAAAAAAATCTATTACCTGCTGAGAGAAACTACGACATCGGAAACAGGGAATTATTGTCCATTACTCTAGCTCTTCGAGAATGGAGGCATTTCTTAGAAGGTTCCAAAGAGCCACTTTTGATTTTCACAGATCATAAGAATCTGGCTTACATTGGAGATGCTAAGAGATTGTCTTCCAGACAGGTTAGATGGTCACTTTTTCTTTCACATTTTAATTTTGTTATTACTTACTGACCATGCACTAAGAATAATACGGCTGATGCTCTGTCTAGACATTATGATACTGAGGAGCTTCCTGACCAAAAAACATCTCCTATCATACCCCCTGAGTGTCTTATAGCTACAACAGTTCAGAGTTGTCTTCTCCGCTCCTTTGTGCCATAATAACAGATAAAACTAAGGCACCAGCAGAGAATCCATCTAATAAACTGTTTGTCTCACCATCACAGAGAACTGAGATACTTAAGTTATACCATGATAACCTGACACCTGGACATTCTGGTATACACAAAACCCTCTCTGCCATTACTAGAAGGTTTTGGTGGCTGTCACTTAGAGGTGATGTCAAGGATTATGTGGGAGCATGTAGAATTGGGTGGTGTCAAAAGTGCCCCAAAAATCACCTCCTGGGTTGTTACAGCCACTTCCAATACCAGACGCTCTGTGGACCAACCTGGCCATGGATTTCATTGTTGATCTCCTGAATTCTAATGGGCATAACACTATCCTTATGGTAGTTGACTGTTTCTCCAAGATGGCACATTTAATACCTCTCAAAAAACTGCCATCATCCCAGGATCTTGTCCAAGTAGTCTTATGTGAAATTTTTAGGCTACATGGAACACCAAAAAACATAGTCTTTGACAGAGCTACCCAATTTATTTCCAGATTTTTGCGTGCTTTCTGCAAACAGTTGGGCAAAGAACTTTATTTTTCATCTTTGTATCACCCTCAGACCAATGGGATGGCGGAGTGAGCCAATCAAGCCCTGGAGTTTTATTTACATTGCATTATTGATGCCAATCATACTAACTGGTCAGAATTCCTGCCCATGGCTGAATTTGCTAGAAACAATGCAACCCATGAGTCCTCTGCTCTCAGTCCTTTTTATGTAAATAATGGTTATCACCCCACTATATTACCTTCTGATTTTTCAGACACTGACATTCCTGCTTTAGACATCCTAAGCGTTACAGTCGGCCTCCAGACATACTAAAATTCAGACAGACAAGTGGCGTGATGCCAATCCTGTCTATCAAGTTGGGGAAAAGGTCTGGCTTTCCACACATCATATCCTCTAGCATGTAAGCTCATTGAGCAGGGCCCTCAACCCCTCTGTTCCTGTGTGTCCAACTTGTCTGGTTATAAATACGTCTGTTCGTCTACCCATTGTAAAGCGCTGCGGAATTTGACGGCGCTCTACAAATATCATAATAATAATAATATCAAATTGAAAGTACCTTCCATGAAACTGACATCTCGTTTTATAGGTCCTTTCCAAGTCCTTAGACGCATTAATCCTGTGACATATTCTCTCACCCTTCTTGCACATTTGCGGATATGGAACTCATTCCATGTGTCTTTATTGAAACTGCTTACTTGCAACTGATACACCAAACAGTTCGTACCTCCTCCTCCTCCGGTAGTTGAAGGCCGGGAGGAATTAGAGGACCGTTCCATACGGGATTCCATGGTGTCTAGGGGTGTGCTGTCTTATTTGGTGGATTGGAAAGGGTATGGATCTGAGGAACGTTCTTGGGTCGCTGCTGATAGAGTCCACGCTCCTCGTAATGTCCGGTCATTCCACAACCGGTTTCCAAGAGTTCCAAGATGGCGCTGACCTTGAGGTTGCAGCCATTTGTAGCTCCGCCTCCAAAAACATGCACTTTCTTGGGTCAGAGGTCAAGCCCTGACCAATCAAAGCCGAAGGATGGATATTTAAACCCCTCAATTTCCCTAGTTCATTGCCCTGTCGTGGTTTCTGTTCCTGGTATCCGAGAGTGCGTTTTCTTGTCCTTGTTATTGATATTCCCGGTATTCTGACTTTGGCTATTCCTAACTATTCTGATCTCTGGTTTCCCTGACTTCGCTTTCTTACCAATCTTGTGTATTTCTGACTTTCTTGACCTCAGCTTTCCCTTGACCATTCTCTGTCTTTTAACATAGTAAACCAACCATTGTAAGGACCAGTTTACATTCTGTCTATTTTTCCTATTCTATGTAATGTTACATAGTATCGCATGTTGGATCACATTATTAGTCATGACAGGAGTGCACCACTAGGCTATGCACCTTTCATTAGGCTTCGCCCATCACTAATCCCTGGAGCCTGGGACCTCCAGGGATTAGAATTCTCCCCCTAATTGGCTTAAGGTACTTCTCAAGGAGGGGGGGAATAAACTATGTTAAATAATAATAATAATAAAGTATGTCTTTTTTCTTCTGCCTTTATCCTCCCAACAGCAGCCCTTAACTTAGGCCTCCAACACCCATTACAGCCTCTTACTGCCTACTACAGCCCCTAACTCCCCACTACAGCCCCTAACTCCCAACTACAGCCCCTTAGCACCTAAGCCCCCTACTACAGACCTCTACAGACCCCCTCTACCCCAATGCTGAATGATCTGATGATCTTATGAGACTAACCCACTGATTTAGGAAATTATTCTACCTGAGACTATCAACAATGCAAGATTAAATAGGACCCTATTAGGGAGGGGTGTGAAGCTGTAAAAGGGAGATGTGTGAAGCTCTCTCTCTCTCTCTCTTTTTATATATATATATATATATATATATATATGTGGCGAAAACGACCTCGCCACTGGGCATTGGAGAAGACAGGTTGACAGCCTCCTGCCATGTGACTATGGCCCCTGGAATGTATTGGTGATAGGAGAAATTTCAGATGAGAAGCCTCTGATGAACCTGCGATAATTAGCAAATGCAATAAAGCATTTTACAGCTTTAAGATCCTTGGGTAACGGCTACTGCTGTAACACTGCATCCAGTTTGCGTGGGTTCATCTCAAAACCAGAAGGGGACTACATATCCAAGGAACTGTACTTCGGTTTGATCAAACTGGCACTTCAAACCAAACGGCATAACCAAATACTCATAATGGCCCATTCTGATATTGAACGCAGTCTTCCACTGATGCCTATCCTTAATTCTGAGTAAGTTATATGCGCTCCTTAAGGTCGAGCTTGGTGAACACTCTGACACCTTTGAGTCTGTCAAATAGTTAAGAAATAAGTAGAATGGGCTAAACATCCTTGATGAGACCTCTGTAATCAATGCAGGGGAGAAGGTCTCCCTCTTTTTTAGAGACGAAGAAAAATCAAGCGCCAACATGAGAGGAAGATCTCCGTATGTGCCCTTTCCTCAGAGAGTATCTTATGTATTCCTCTAAACAGATAGTTTCTTGAGGAGAGAATGTGCATATACCCCTCCTTATGAAGCATGGTTCTGGGAAAAAGGTCAATAGAACAGTCATAAGACTGATGAGGTGGTAAAGTCTCTGACTGTACTTTATTGAATACCTCTGTAACGGATCACCCAGCACCCCAACTGGGTACCTTCAATGACGGATGCTCCTAGTGCTTCCCGAGGGCTCCAAGCACTCAACTCCACTAGACACCATAACCACTGCAGACCCTACTAACCACCGCAGCTTGGTTGGGGTCTCACCGTCTTCCACCCACTCTGGACCCGAGACCAGGATCCAGCTTCCAGTAGGTAGACCTCTCTTAATCCAGAGAGTAGGAACAGGAACAAGCTCTTACAAGAGCTTAGTGATTATACTCTGAGGAATAAAGTGATTATAGCAATCCCTAGAGTGTAGGTAGTTCTCCAATCCCCCAAACATGAGCCGAAACTTCATGAAGGGTAGAACAAGTTTGAGGATTTATTGGTATAGGTTTGCTTATATATAATTCCTCAGGCCAGAGGCACACAACCTGATGGAACACAGGCACACAAAGGACACAAACCAATCAGAACAATACAACAATGTCTGACACTCCCACTTACAGCACACAATCCCTCCCCTCTGCCTGTGACACAATAAACAAAGACAATGGGCTAACTCAATTAACTCTAAGCAGAAAAAAACATACATTTTTAAAAACCCCAAAAAGTACCCCAAAATACAACATATCCCCACATCCCCTGATAGCCCCAATCTGGATGAACAACATATCCAAAAATCACCCAGATCGGTTAAGTGGTTCAGGAATTTCCTGGAAGTCTCTTTTTGACCGACCGCACGCAGTGTTTCATGCCCAAAACAGTTATTTTTGCCCCACCGTGCACATGGTCCCATGCTCAAAACAGTTCCATACACTCGACTACAAAACACCGCTGTACAATTTAGGATGGCCGCCGCCACATGTTTCAATCTGTTCCAGTTAAAAGTCCAAGGGGCATAAACAGTACTTTTGAGGATGGGTTATCACAGGGCCCATAGTCCCAGGGTAGGAGGCTGGCAAACAGGCCCTCCAAAAACCAGTGCAAAGTGGATTTCATCACAACCTCCTTTACTTCCAGATACTGAGGTGGAATCTCTGTTGACAAGGGAGGTGCAGTAGCAGATGTTGTGGCATAAGGCTCTTACAGTGACCCATGCAGTCTTCTCCCCATCCCACTTTGGTCCAGTCTAGGTGAAGGTTGTGCTTCTGGAGCCATGGGAAACTGAGGATTATGGGACATGACAGAAATGAGATAACCTGGAAAACCATTTCTTCAGAGTGTAAGATGCCTATTAAAACAGTGATAGGAAAGGTCTCCTGGGTGATGAGAGGCTGAGAAAGAGATCTTCCATCAATGGATAGGCCAGTCTCTCTGCCGTAATGGCAAGAGATGTTTAGCAGAGAACTCCCTATCAATGTAATTTTCCGCTGCTCCAGAGTCGATCATAGCCTTACACTGAATAGTAGTGTTATTACACTGTATTTTAAGTTTCACCAGGAAACAGTTCTTAGTCAAGTTAGGGGACAAATACATCACACCTAAGGTTGGTCCCCAAACGTTTGTTAAGTGTGCAGGTTTTCTGGATGTACAGGGCCTGAAATCCTAAAATGGCCATTTTTGCCACAATATAGACATAAGCCCTCATTTGTTCTATATTGTCTTTCTTCTTCAGTAAGTTTGGCTATCCCCAACTGCATGGGTTCAGTCTCTGAAGGTGGAACAGGAATTACATAGAATTACAGAATTACATAGGAATTACATAGAATAGAAAAAATAGACGTAAACTGGTCCTTAGACTAGCTGGGTTAATACGTTGAAAGACAGAGAATGGTCAAGGGAAAGCTGAGGTCAAGGAAGGCAGAAATACACAAGATTGGTAATCGGTAAGAAAGCCAAGTCAGGGAAACCAGAGATCAGAATAGTCAGGAATAGCCAAGGTCAGAATACTGGGAATATCAATAACAAGGACAAGAAAATGCACTCTCTGAAACCAGGAACAGAAACCATGACATGGCAATGAACTACAGAAATTCAGGGGTTTATATATCCCTCCTTAGGCTGTGATTGGTCAGAGCTTGGCCTCTTACCCCAGAACATGCGTGTGTCGACGTTGTGACGTCACAAGCACTATCGCAGGATTTTTGGAGACAGGGCTACAATTGGCTGTGTCCTTGCGGTTGGCGCCATCTTGGATCCCGTGTGTGGAGGGGAAGGACGCTCCAGCGGGTCAGCTCCCGACTTGCTGCTGCACAGGTAATTTGTTTAACCTGTTTGTGTCATTGGACCAATCGGGTGCGACCACGTGCAGCCGAGAGCCAGGTGCAGTGACAACTCCCCACTGATGCACCTCTATCTATACAGCATATCAACCAGTGTTTGTGCTGTACGTAGCCTAAACTTAAATCAGACACTCGACTGCCCGAACACCACTGAACTTCCATCTCCACCTGTATTCGGTTATATTCATCTGAAAGGAACACTGCGGGAGCATACACCTGAATAAGGAACACATAATCAACATACGGGCTAATATATACATTTGGTATTTTGTGTGATTTTGTACCCCCGACAGAGACCAACCACTCATCTTCTATTCTGAGCAGGAGCCTCATGTGTGGTCGGTCAGAACTTTACCTTGGTGGCGTTTCAGCTGCGTTTGTGGGATCCACTTTGTTTCCACTTTTTGGATATGTTGGGCACTCAGATCTATGCTATCTGGCGATATAGGAATTAAGGGGGTACCTGATTGTGTTGTGTGTATTTTGGGGGTATAAAAATTGTACATGTTCTGTACCTGAGAGACAATCTAATTTAGATGTTTACTGTCAAGCTGTTCTCTCACAGGTACAGAGAAACCATGGGGGGAGTTACCTTGTAATGTTGAGTTTGAAACCCCTTGCAGGGGATGTTGCATAAAAGGCCATGTGTGGCCTCCAATAAACCGGTTCACCCCCAACATTCAGTCTCAACTAATGTCTGTGGGGGAAAGCTACACCTGCTATGTCACTACTATACCTGCTTTGAATTATCGCAATTGGGAAAGCCTGTTTGGTATTATTACAGCATAACTCACTACTAGGGGGAAAAGGGCATCTCTGGCAGCAAAGCCTGTGTTCCTAACCAGGTGGCTGCCACAAATCAAATCTAATAGGTTATATTTTCTCACTCACCTTCCACGCTTGGATTTCATTTTTAATTTGTTCCTTATTGATTTCAGAAGTCAATTCATGCAAAGCATGTGCCAAAGAATATACTGCATTGTATATACTATAACTGTACTGTGACATGTATTTATGGATATTTCTGTATTCTTTAGATTGGATTGTCTCATTGCCCATGCATAATTCAAAGTAAAAACTTTTGTTTCTATAATTGCAGTCATATAGATCCATCCACACACGATCAATATAGAAATCATTTGGATAACTGACAGGATTAATATTCTGAGAGAAATCTTCAAAAGTTGGACTTGTTTTTGTATGAATCGTGAAAGACAAACTGCCATTGAATGGCTCAAATGTTATGAAATAAAATTCAACTCCATCAGATAAGTTCCACTGGGAGGAAATTATCCAGATCTTCTCAGGGCTGGGAATCATGAACAGTGTGACTTGTAATTCAAACATGTAGTCTTGGTCTGCATAAATAACAATAACATTTGCTTTGGAGGTTCTCAAAAGTTTAGTAATTCTTGCAGTAAACCCATCATCTGTTTGACCACGATATGGGAGAAATTCTAAGAAGGCAACACAGTATCCATGTAGAGAGAGCTCCGCCTGAAGCACTTGACTGGCCTTCAATCCAGACTCATCATCAGAAACCAACATTCCAACCCAGGACCAGCCGAAATATCTAAGCAACTTGACTATTGCCTTGTATTGGACATTATCATTGGGGACTGTGCGATAGAAAGATGGAAACTGGACTTTATCACTTAGGATGGGATCCAACGATGAGTAGCTAATCTGAATATTAATATAATATAATTATGAAGGTTAGAAATGTGAGAAGAAAATAGACACTTAAATGAGTGGTGAACAATATAAATACATATTAATTTGAAGACAATTTAATCATTATTCCCTCTGCTATTCAACTGGAGGATGTATGAAATCCTAAATGACAATTATAGTAATTATAGTAATTAATGATTCACTTGGACCAACTATTTACAAGAAGGGCTTCTAAGAAACTAAGTGGATAAGCATCCTGGAGACATTGCACCCACTGGCTTTAAATGAGGATTATGACCTGAAGCACTTCTTGAAAATAGTTGGTCCAAGTGAATCATTAATTACTATAATTGTCTAAGTATGAGCTCACTGGACTTCTCTTCCAGCTGAAGTGGTAGAGGTTAACACAGTGAGGGAGTTTAAGCATGCGTGGGATAGGTTTAAGGCTATCCTAACTATAAGATAAGGCTAGGGACTAATGAAAGTATTTAGAAAATTGGGCAGACTAGATGGGCCAAATGGTTCTTATCTGCCGTCACATTCTATGTTTCTATGTTTCTAATTTATAACTTTATTTAAAGCATTTGATTGTGACCAAATTTGGTCAGTTTGACTCTCTAACTCTCAAAATACCTCTAAAAGTGTAGACCACATATGGTCTGCTACACGACTGGATACAGGGTCCATACTAAGAGAGACTACAGCCATTTTCACATACAACACCGCTGGTGAGTAGGCTTCTGCTGAGATTGTGGTTTTAAGTGAGGCAAACAGTACACCCCTAATTATCCAACAAATTTGTGCCAGAGATAGGAAAGATTTTTTGCAGAAATGTTTTTTTACATTAAGTTTTTTGGGCATGGAATATTCTTTTAGAGGGTTAAATCCAGATAGGTACAAAAAATTTTTTTCAAAGGAGTTTTCTTTTAAAAAATGCCTCCCCAAAAAATTTTTCCCTTCAAAATAAGGATAATAATATAATAAAAATGTTTTCCTTTAATAGATTATTACCACTTTAGAAATAAAAATTATAAAACTGTTTTCACATAGAGAAGCAAATTTTATCCCTAGCAACACATTGAATAAATGTAGTGAAGCAGTATTCCAACACTGCTTGGAAGCCAGTTTGACTGAGATACACCACAGTGGATTTTAGAATGTGTATAGTTAATAAAGTGTTTTTGTTTTTTTGTTGTCTACAGTGAATAAAGTTTTTTTCCTTGGTATATCCATTCTCACATGGTTTTAGAGATTGTTAATAAAGCTGTTACAAACCCGACAAGAACAGAGGTTTTTATTTTTCCTTCAGCAAGGCTGTCGAAGGGACAATTGAAGTCCTAAGCGTGCAGCCCAGGCACCCCATCAGCAGTAAGGAAGAGACCCCAGGCACCTCATCTACTATACGGCAAGGCAACTGAGGAGCAGCTACTTGGATCTACATATGAATAAAAGGCTACTCACCTACAAGCTTGGATAAGCCATTACACTTACCATCCACCAGTTGATCCTTATTTTTTGCTATTTTTAGTGTGTGCACACTGGGACTGTATATACAGTTGCAAGACAAAGTATGTGAACCCTTTGGAATGATATGGATTTCAGCACAAATTGGTCATAAAATGTGATCTGATCATCATCTAAGTCACAACAATAGACAATCACAGTCTGCTTAAACTAATAACACACAAAAAATGAAATGTTGCCATGTTTTTATTGAACACACCATGTACACATTCACTGTGCAGGTGGAAAAAGTATGTGAACCCCAAGACTAATGATATCTCCAAGAGCTAATTGGAGTGAGATGTCAGCCAACTGGAGTCCAATCAATGAGATGAGATTGGAGGTGTTGGTTACAGCTGCCCTGCCCTATAAAAAACACACACCAGTTCTGGATTTGCTTTTCACAAGAAGCATTGCCTGATGTGAATAATGCCTCGCACAAAAGAGCTCTCAGAAGACCTATGATTAAGAATTGTTGACTTGCATGAAGCTGGAAAGGATTATAAAAGTATCTCCAAAAGTATCTCTGCTGTTAATCAGTCCACGGTAAGACAAATTGTCTATAAATGGAGAAAGTTCAGCACTGCTGCTACTCTCCCTAGGAGTGGCCGTCCTGTAAAGATGACTGCAAGAGCACAGCGCAGACTGCTCAATGAGGTGAAGAAGAATCCTAGAGTGTCAGCTAAAGACTTACAAAAGTCACTGGCAAATGCTAACATCCATGTTAGCGAATCTACAATACGTAAAACACTAAACAAGAATGGATTTCATGGGAGGATAGCACAGAGGAAGCCACTGCTGTCCAAACAAAACATTGCTGCACATTTACAGTTTGCACAAGAGCACCTGGATGTTCCACAGCAGTACTGGCAAAATATTCTGTGGACAGATGAAACCAAAGTTGAGTTCTTTGGAAAAAACACACAACACTATGTGTGGCAAAGAAAAGGCACAGCACACCAACATCAAAACCTGATCCCAACTGTGAAGTATGGTGGTGGGGGCATCATGGTTTGGGGCTGCTTTGCTGCGTCAGGGCCTGGACGGATTGCAATCATCGAAGGAAAAAAGAATTCCCAAGTTTATCAAGACATTTTGCAGGAGAACTTAAGGCCATCTGTCTACCAGCTGAAGCTCAACAGAAGATGGGTGTTGCAACAGGACAATGACCCAAAGCATAGAAGTAAATCAACAACAGAATGGCTTAAACAGAAGAAAATACGCCTGAATGGGCCCAGTCAGAGTCCTGACCTCAACCCGATTGAGATGCTGTGGCATGACCTCAAGAAAGCGATTCACACCAGACATCCCAAGAATATTGCCAAACTGAAACAGTTCTGTAGAGGAATGGTCAAGAATTACTCCTGACTGTTGTGCACGTCTGAACTGTAACTACAGGAAACGTTTGGTTGAAGTTATTGCTGCCAAAGGAGGTTCAACCAGTTATTAAATCCAAGGGTTCACATACTTTTTCCACCTGCACTGTGAATGTTTACATGGTGTGTTCAATAAAAACATGGCAACATTTCATTCTTTGTGTGTTATTAGTTTAAGCAGACTGTGATTGTCTATTGTTGTGACTTAGATGATGATCAGATCACATTTTATAACCAATTTGTGCATAAATCCATATCATCCAAAGGGTTCACATACTTTTTCTTGCAACTGTACATTTTTTCATATTTTACCAATAATTTTTGTTTTTAATTTATTTTTTAATTTTTTCATTACATATATCTTTTCAACATGTTTTCTGCCAAATAGATAACCATTGTAGACCATACATGAGGCTCTCATCCATTTAGTGTGGATTTACACCATTACAACTGACACAGTGTCAGATCCGATTGGGGATATTTTATTGATTTAACTTGTGGTGTTTAGGTATATCACCTAGGTGTTACTTGGTTGTGTTTTTTTTTTATAGGTATAATGCAATAAGTTATTTGCTATACATCATACATTGCCACAATTATATATTCCATATTGATTTAAATAAATATTTTTCTGAAGGCAATTGAATTTTTTTTGCCTAAAAAAAATGTATATTTGAGTGCGGTATCATATGTTTTAGTATATATTTATTTAAGGTTATATATTTATTTAAGGTTATAGTTGTGGGCTACCTTGATACCCAGCACTGTTTAAGAATAGAAGAGTGCCTGTACATATTGCATCTTTTTGTATATTGTGCCTTAACCTGTCACCATTTTTTAACCAATGTATGTCAATATTTCTGGCAAGGGGATGAAAAAATAGCATTTTTACATATATGTTAAATTTTTGCTGAGTATTTCTTTCACTTGTTATGTACCACTGTCATAAAACCCCCCACATAATGCTCAGTTACATCTTCTGAGTAAAACAATATGCCCAATGTATGACATTGACACTATTTTGTGAAGTTACAGTGCTGTAAAAGAGACGTGATAAGTTCAGGTTTTTGAGTGTGAATTTTCATGGAGAGTTTTGATGCGTCCATGTCCCACTTTGGAGCACTTGAGCAGGTTACATATTCCAAGTACTCCATAAAGGCATACCATTTCTTAAAGAAGACATCCCAGGGTATTTCAAAAGGCATATTTTCAACCTTAGCGTGGGATACTTTTTCAGCTAGCCTTTACCAAGTGTAGTGGTAATAAGCATTTTTTCTGCCTTTTTGACACATAAAATGAGTCTGCACAGTATATTTAGGCTTGAATACAAGTAAGATTTACTATATTTAGGGAGGCATGAGGGGACCAGGGTGGCTGGATGGTGGTTTTAACACCATAATTTCAGGAATACATGTTTGTGTTCCTGACCATATAGTGCTCCTTTAAGGCATACCCTTTCTTAAAGAAGACATCAAAGGGTATTTCAAAAGGATAATTTTTCCGCTAGCTTGTACCAAGTGTAGTGGTAATAAGCATTTTTTCTGCCTTTTTGACACACAAAGTAAGTTTGCACAGTATATTTTGCAAACCTTATGTGTGCTACGACTATATAATACTTCACATGTTGCTCAGCTATGTCGGCTGAGTACAGCAATACCCCCGTATGTACCTTTGCCAGTTATATGTGGACATTGAAGGTTCACATTTGAGACACAGCCATTCCAGTTTTTTGTTTTTTTTACTTTGAATTTTTACGTTGTGTCCATGTCCCATTTTAGAGTATTTTAGCAGGCTATATAATCCAACTACAGCAATAAGGCATACATTTCTTAAAGAAGACACCCCAGATTATTTCAAAAGCATATTTTAAACCTTAGCATGGTATAATTCTTCAGAGAGCTTGTACCAAGTGTAGTGGTAATAAGCCTTTTTTCTGCCTTTTTGACATACAAAGTAAGTTTGAACAGTATATTTTGCAAACCTTATGTGTGCTACTATTGTATAATACTTCATATGTTGCTCAGCTATGTCGGCTGAGTACAGCAATACCCCCATATGTACCTTTGCCAGGTATATTTGGACATTGAAGTGGCACATCTGAGACACAGCCATTCAGTTTTTTTCAAACTTTGAAGTTTTACGCTGTGTTCGTGTTCCATTTTGGAGTAGATTAGCTGGCTGGTTATTCAAACTTCACCACAAACACATATTATTTATTAAAGAATACACCATGGGGCATATTTTGAACCATAGCGTGGGATAATTTTTTTCACTAGTATGTTCCTAGTATAGTGGTAATGAGCATTTTATAATGTATTTTTTTTATTTTTTAAAACTTTGTTTTACTTTTTAAAACTTATTTTAAAACTTTCTTAACTTTTAAAAAAATTTATAAACTTTTTTTACCGTTTACCCCTAGCTAGCAGTAAGCAGCACTAACAGTACATTCCCCACTTTCCCTTAACTCCCACCCACCCCAGCTAGCAAAATATATCATTTTAAAATATTTAAGTTAATTAATTAAATAATTTGAACCCCTAAGTTAAAAAATACTGTAAAAAAAAGTTAATCCTCAGGGGTTAAAAAAAAATAAAATTAGATCACAGTCTAATACTGTGATTTGTATTTTGATCACTGTTGGCAGTAATCAACTGGTAGGGAAGGGGTTAATTTTTTTTGGACTGAGTAAAAACTTTTTTCAAATGTTATGAAAACATTTTTGAAAACTTTTTTAACTTTTTAAAGCTTTTTTAAAACGTTTTTAACGTTAACCCCTAGATAGCCTAACACCAAATCCCCCAATTCCCCACTAACTTCGACCCACCGTAGCTAGCTAAATATATGATTTTTTAATATTTAAATCAATTAATAAAATAATTTAACCCTTGATGGTTAAAAAAAAATTAACCCTCAGGTGTTAAAAGAAAAATCAGATGACAGTAAAATGTAGTCCCTGCCAATGGATCACTGTAGTCAGTGATCATTTGGCAGGGAAGGGGTTAATTTTATTAAAGCAGGGGAAAGGGGTGGGTGGGATTTAACTTAATTTTTTCTTTTGAAGAGGATTATCACTGATCCGTCTCCTTGCACTCCACACTGACCATTGAAGAGCAGGGAGGCAGATCGTGAGTCCCTGCAGCACATGTGCTCACTCTGACAGCCTGTCAGAGCGATCACTGCTGCAAGGACAGCGAGATCGGGTGCTCCCGGTCTGCCTTGAATACCAAGGCAAACTGGGTGAGCGTTAACCCTGCGACAATCGTGGTGATCTGGGGTTAACTTTGGTAAATTACGGAAATTTTCTTAACGCAAGGACAAGCTTGATGGAAAATTTCCATCTTTGGCCGGGAATCGGTTAATTGGATGTTACAGAATGAAAAATAATCAATCTTACCAAATAAAATAATGGCTACAGAATGTGTCCCATGGCACCTCTCAAGTCTAAAGGTGAAATGAGTGGAAAATTACGCTGTTCAGTTGTTCCTCTGTTAGTTTTATACATTTTTCTCTCTCAAAAATGGTCACAGTTTCCATTCTGCGCCTTGCCCTAATGTAATGTAATGAAAATCTGTGTTCAGCATATCCTAGTTAGCTCTGTCTATAGCTAGCTTCAAGCTTAAGGATGTATAGCTTGTTTACAGGCGTACGTGGCTTTATGCTAACTTGGGCCTATGTGTGTTTTGACCTTTTAAATCTCATGACTGTTGTCTACATATATTCTCATGCTGTTATATTGTGTATGTCATGCAACTTAAATGTATATCTTATCCAGCAGCTATATCTTCATTAAATATCAAAATAAAAGCAATCCATACTCCACACCCCTCACTATTATTAGGCTAAGCAAGATAAGGGTATTTTTATGGGTAGATGATTAGGGATTTGGGGATTCTAAATCACCAAGGGAGGTAATTTAGGGACTCCAGCTGCTGCAAGTGTCCCAACATGAACAATCAAATTCATCTATCAAAATTCTAACAGTACAAACTGAAATTGTGCTACTTCACAAGATAATGGCAATGTTATAAATTGTGGATATAGTTTTACTCCTTTAAAACACATCCATACCAAAAATGCCAAAATGTCTTGGTCTTGTGTCCTGAAATACAAAACAAGCCAACTGAAGTTTGTCCCTTTGTGGACATATTACAACGCTGAACATACATTGCCTCCTATTTTATTGTATTTTACCTGTGGAATCTTGTAAGTACCAAACATTCTGGCAAGCAGGAGAGTCACTTTAGAAGATCTACCATCCACGAATCCCACCAGCTTCTGTAATGTCCCGCAGCTATAGTTAGGTATAAGTGTAGAGTATTTTTCTGTTGAAATTATGTTAAGTATTCCCTTTACTGCTTGTTTTTCACTAAAACAAGGATCAGCTGTGTAGAATCCAAGAGTTATATTCGGAAGAATTTCCAGATTCTCATTTATCTCAGAAATTGCAAATATGAAGGCCACCAAATTCTGGTAGGACATTAGATTTATCCTAAAGGGAAAATAAATGTTGTCAAATAAATTCTACATTGGTACAAAAATATGCATATATAATGCACAGTGATGTATTTAAGTTTAAGGAATCTGTAGCATAGCCTTGCAGATTAACCACAAGCAGACATAGAAAAATAGCCACACAGATAAATTAACCACTCATATATGATACACAGGGGCAGATTGAGACAAGAAACTGGCATTGGTATTTCAAGGCAGCTCAGTCCACTAAAGGTTGGCGGCAGAGAGAGTAGGCATGTTATGTCATCACCAATGAGACAAGCTCCCCTAAAATGACCTTGTTAGTTTTATATTCTTCTAGGAAATATTATGAGTGCTTCAGCAGCATTCTCTACTTGGACCTGTGTGGTGGGTGCTGGTAAAGGCTGTCTGTTAGCCTGGCATGCCCCTTCAATGGATGTCCCAACCTCATTTCTGGGTGAGTTGAAGGGACACTATAGCCACCAGAACAACTACAACTTATTGAATTTGTTCTGGTAAGTAGAATCATTACCTTCAGGATTTTTGCTGTAAACACTGTCTTTTCAGAGAAAATGCAGTGTTTACATTACAGCCTAGTGATAACTTCATAGGCCACTCCTCAGATAGCTGTTAGAGATCCTTCCTGGGTCATGGCTGCCTAAAATGCATCCAAACATTCCGTGTCTCCTCCCTCTGCATGCAGCTCCCTCTGCATGCAGACACTGAACTTTCCTAATAGAGATTCATTGATTTAGTTTATCTCTATGAAGAGATGCTGGCCAGGGCTGTGTTTGAATTGTGCTGGCTCTGCCTCTGATCTGCCTATTTGTCAGTCTCAGCAAATCCTATGCGGAAGCATTGTGATTGGATCTGGCTACAACGTCTGATGATGTCAGCAGGCAGTGGGCAAGTCAAAAGGAAACAGAGACAAAGCTAGCAGCTTCAGGCTTGAATACAAATAAGAATTTCTATATTTAGGGAGGCATGAGGGGACCAGGGTGGCTAGATGGTGGTTTTAACCCTATAGGGTCAGAAATACATGTTTGGGTTCCTGACCCTATAGTGCTCCTTTAACCAATCATGGTTGTACCCAATGACACAGGTTGTGTGATTAGTATTACCCCTGAAGTGGGGTATAGAAGGGCTGTAGATTGTGAGTGTGTGTGTGTTTTGGCGCTACAGTGTGTATGTATATACAGAGCCGCAATAGTGTTCATGCACACATGTAGACTTTCATGTATTGGGGCATAGTGTGTGGTGCCTATATAGGTGGTGTAGTGTGTGAATAGTTGGATAGAGGACATAGAGTATGCAGAGAAAACAATCAGTATAGTACATTGTAGCGGACCACGGGTAACCCGACCGGTTACCTCCACTAATTCCTTCCCTTAACCACTCTGGAACCATTAAAACATGCAAACATGCATTCCCCCAGTAACCAGATGAAACATAGTCCTGGCAGTCAACTGAACTTTATTGGGCCACACACAGCTTTTATTCCCAGTTGCCTGCAAGGGGTTAACAACACAATAAAACAGGGGTTTCAATCCCAGAATCCTCTGTACCTGAGAGATAATTGCATGAGAAAAACCCTCTAATTTATTTATCTTTCAGGTACAGAAAATCCAGCAAAATATACTGTACCCCAAAAGTGTCCCCACCGTACATAGGAACCCCACGAAAAATACATTTCCCGATAGCCCCGATCTGAGTGTACAACATAGAATCACTCAGATCGGTTTGATTAAACAGGAATTCCACTGAGGTAAAGTTTTGACCTGCCAGGCATGGGGAGCTAGCCAAAACAGTTCCAGAGAAATAGGTGCCCTGGCCTGTCTCTGTTCATGAGCCACCTGTGTGAACACCCTGCAAGGGAATCTTTTCATTCAGGATACGACTGCTCCACCTATTTGGTAGTTTGGTTTCACACTTAAGTGGTCGGTGTGAAAGTTCTAATGGGGTACAGGGGTTCGAGAGATGAAATAATGCTGTTTGTATGAAGTATCCCTAATGGTAAAAGGATGAAACATGTAAAATAAAAGGAGAAAGTGTATGAATAGGTGTAGGTTCTGCCACATACATGTTTTAATATATTATGGAAATCTCTACAATGATTTACTAGGAGTAAGAAAACTTACTGCATGTCATTATCTAGAGCTCCAATATTGTTTTCTTAGTCATAAACACATGTTTTTGTATGGAATTAAGGGTGGGGGATGTGTTTTTCAGATCTACTTGTTGAAATATCAAATTTTTCATCACTTCACAGCACTTACTCCTTGGTAGTTACAGTGAGGGAAAAAGTATTTGATCCCCTGCTGATTTTGAATGTTTGCCCAGAGAAATGATCAGTCTATAATTTTGATGGTAGGTGTATTTTAACAGTAAGAGAGAGAATTTACGCATGTAAATAACATTTAAGCATGTAAATGAATAAAATAAGTATTTGACTCCTTCGACTTAGTACTTGATGGAAAAACCCTTGTTGGCTATCACAGAGGTCAGATGTTTCTTGTAGTTGGCCACCAGGTTTGCGCACATCTCGGGAGGGATTTTGTCCCACTCCTCTTTGCAGAACCTCTCCAAGTCATTAAGTTTTGGCAACTCAAACCTTTAGCAACCTCTGCAGATTTTCTATGGGATTAATGGGATTAATATTAATAATGTGTAGGCCACTCCAGAAAATTAATGTGCTTCTTCTTGAGCCACTCCTTTGTTACCTTGGCTTTGTGTTTTGGGGCATTGTCATGCCGGAATACCCATCCACGACCCATTTTCAGTACCCTATATTTCACGGTTCATATCATAATTGGTGGTTTTCATTAGGTGACATTTTCCAGTTCTTCTCTCTCTGATTCTATTCAGTCTGTTTACGTACGTACATTCACATTTAAGCTCATTCCCGAAAGAGACAATCCCCATCTAGGGAAAGAGAACTGGCTTTCAGGGTTAGGAGCTGGCCCTAGTCTAGAATAACTTAGCATATCGGTCCTGCAAGGCCAACTCCCCACCTCATCATGGAGGTTTTGTCCAACGACCGAACTCATACTTAGTGCCTCACATACACTGCTGCTCCTGTCAGGGCCTCATATGTCATGTCCACACATATTTGACTCTTTTACCGTCACTGAGAGGCCAACACCCTGCCTATTTCAATCATACATAGCATCACAGCGATGTCGCTTTCCGCTTATGATATTAGGCCCTCACTAGGCCATATCGACTATCATATGCAATTCAGTTTGGCCCCCTACATGGCTAGGTGTCGCAACTGACTGTTTAAATTTAAGTCAGGTTCAAACTTTGGACTTATACACATGGTTCATAAATATAAATAAATTGAGCCAATTAGAATGTTGGCAACTACAAGAGAAGTAATTAATGAGTGCTTCCCTGGGTGACCGCCATACGTATAGATCAGCGGCGGCCAAGAGGAGCATTTGTGTCCTGAAAGGAGATGCTTCCCCTGCCTGGTTTCACCCAGGGAACCTGCGAATGGAAGCTGTTTGTGCAGATTACCGTTCTGGGCTCCCTGAGATTGGTGGGGACATTCCTTGAGGTGTAGCGGGCTTTCTGTAGCTGAGAGTCACAGAGGTGGGAAGCTTTCCCGTGCTGGGATTCCCAGGTACAGAGGCTCATGGGATAAAGACCCCTGGTCACTGAAGGTGGAAAACTCTGAGGATGGGTGTTGGGAACTGGGGATAAAGGGACTGGAGGACCCTGGGAAGGGACACTGAGTGTCAGGAACAGAGGACAAAGGGACTGGGGTTCCGATTCTGTTGTGCGACCCACGGGGGGAGGAGGAGGAGACATTGTCTTTGTGTATAAAGTCAAGTGTGGCCAATAAAGTTGTTGTTCCCCCGGGGCTGCATGTCATCCCGTTACTGGGTGTGAAATGGGTCTCTCTGAGTGAGGACAACCAGTCGGGTTGTCAGCAGGCCCACTACATAAATGTCTCCTTTCGGGATACGAATGCTCCCTCCGGCCGGCGCCCGTCTATGAGAAAGGCGACCACCATGTGACATTCAGAGGGCCAGACAAGGTCACTCTAGAAGTGCCCAACAAGGGATTTGAACCTGGGTGCTTTATGATTCTAAGTCTGTGTTCCTGCCTCCTGAGCAACTTCAGTTCTTGGTTTGAAACTGAAAACTTAGCCCTGCTATGTCTCCAGCACTGGGGGCTGGACTTAACCTGTGACTGCTCCTGTCAATCATGGTCCACCTGTATAGTATCTCTGATTAGCCAGGTACAAGACAATGCCTCTCCCTGAGGGCAGTTTCAGTTCATTGACTCTGGTTCCTATGTTTCTATTCGTGATCCAGTGTTCTCCAGTTGGCTTCTGACCTTGGCTTTCTTATCGTGTATCCTGACTTCCGGCATCCTCTGACTTTGGCTTACCCTTGTTTTTCCTGACTTCTGGCACCCTCTGACTTTTGGCTTACCCCCGACGATTCTCCTGCTGGTGTCCTTACCGGTACTGCGACTAGGAGCAATATCCTGCACAGACTCACAGGACAGGTGAATTCTTCCCTGACCACCTTGGCCTGTGTTTAATTGCAAGGGTGAGCATATATCTCTTCCTATCTTCGAACGGGACTTAGTCTCCAGCCGCAGTGTCGAAGTAGAGTAGAATGTACGGGTCAGCGGTGTTTGTGCAATTGGGTAGCTGAAAACAGTTCCATAGATTTGACTGCACACACCGCTGACCTCGTTCGAATGAGTTAAAATGGCCGCTTCAACGACTTCGACAACTTCGATAACTTCGACTGCTTCGACAGCTTTGACTGCTTCGACTGCATCCGAAGGGCCAGTTTCAAAGTACAAATCCTTTCTTTGGGCATTAAAGGGCCAGACAACAGCAATATAAGCCCACATCAGTTCCTAGAAGGGCAATACATCCCAGGGCCATAGTCGCAGGGCAGGAGGCAGGCAAGCAGGCCTTTCCAGGACAAAGTGGCGAAGGGCACTTCATCACAGTTTGTATATAAATTATGCTGGTTCAGAATATATAACTTTTATGTGAATTGCATGTATGGTTTGTAAGTTACGAATATTGTATAAAACTGTATATTTTCTGCCGAAGGGAGGGTTTGTGTGCCTTGGCTGGGAGTGTCTGACTGTACTGTTGTTTTGATTGGCGATTACATCTTTTTGTCCTGTGTCCCACAAGGTCCACGTGGGTGGTAACCTTGTTGGAAAACCTGTATGAGTTCCTGTTTTACCCTCAACAAAGAGCCTTGTCTCATGTGTGGGGGAAAAGGCTGCATCTACAGAAAAGGCTGCATCTTCCACCATTTTAGATCTTTGTATTTTTGTCTGTAAGAAGGTGGTTCGTATGCCTGATAGGAGCATCAATTATACTATATTTGCATACTCCCATATGCTAGTTGTTAGACGACATAGAATCAAAGTCCATACCTAGAAAAAGTCCTTACATTTCGCAAACCAATTTCAGCATTTAAAGGGGACATCCTTACATTTCTTAATAAAAACCATATCTAAAAAAAGGCATACAGGATAACATTTAAAATTAGTGTAAGCAAAAACATTTAATACCTAATATGAAAAAGAATAAAAAGTCCATTGAAATGCATTTTCTGATTTCACTGAGTTACTTAAAGGCATATACCCCCATGAAGTGAATATGTGGACATCAGGGAAATGGACTTGTATTTCTATCATTGTGAGAAATGGAGTACATATCAGCAAGGAAGAGCAAAATGGATTAAATAGTAATGCACATCTAACTGCATGCATATAGAATTCTAAAGATTTGTACTAGTGAAAAACATGCATATAAACACTTACTACTAATATAAGAGAGAAAGAAAATAAAATGTCCATTAAAATACATTTCTTTGATAAAGAAATTCTTAAGAAGAACGAGAGTGCAGATAACATTTTTATATTTCTATATATGGATTCGCTGTTACTGAGAAAGCATCATTATATATAAGAGAAAGCAAGAGTACAGAGCGCGTATATCAGAACGGCAAAACACATATTTAAAAAATGATTATTCAATTATTAAAATCCATATCCCTGCCTTTTCAGGGCAGCACCGGCCCAAAGAAGCCATGCTAATGTCGTGGGGAGCCAGGCTTCCCCTGATCACATTCATACTGTTTGCATTTCTCCCACGAGCTCCGGCCACAAACAGACATACATTACAGCACTAGAAACACACACTACACCACAATCAGATCTCTTTACAAACCAACCTACACTACACCACAAAGCACGGTCTGACTGCCAGTGTAAGGACCACCTGAGATACACAAGTGCCACTCTACTGCAGATTAGTGGGTTTTATACTGCATGCAGCCTCCTCCTGAGCAGCGAATTTAATAATTAAAACACATGGGTATATGTAACTGCAGAAACTAATCTAGTTCATCCACTGTCAGATACATTTCTTAGAGTAAAATTTATTTGAAGGGAGAAAGGTTTTGCTGTTTCAGAAACAGTGTGTGACTGCAGCTGCTGTGAAGAAGGAGAGAGAAGGGAGCCGCACATTGCAGTCTGAGTCTGAACAGAATAACGATTATAAACAAATAGACTAAAAGCCCAGTATGCTCAAATGGAGTCAACCAACAAGTAGAGATTCCCTATGTAGCAGTTTAACCCCTTAAGGACACGACATATGTGACATGTCATGATTCCCTTTTATTCCAGAAGTTTGGTCCTTAAGGGGTTAAACATAGGCTCTGAAATGACACAGTTTACATTAAAATGCCCTCAGTGACATTTTAGACACACACCAGAACAACTACATTAGCTATTTACTATACATTAAGCTGTAGTTTTCCTGGAGACAATAGTGTCACTTTAAGTATTCCAGATGTGACCTGGGTATTGCCTGGATAACGCTGATTTGGGAAGCTAGTATTCAATACAAAAAGCCAAGCTTACACTTAAATGGCCATTTGAGGGAAATTAAAAAAATCCATTCATTCAATAGGGATTTGGGATATTGCGCAGGTAACTTTATTCTTTGGAAACCAAAAAATAGTTGAGTTAATTCTAATTCAGAAACAGGGAGGAGAGGATTAACCCAGATGTTACAAATTAAAAAGACACAAAGGATTGTTTTTTTGTTTTATTCTTATATTGTGCAAGACCACCTTGAGAAATAAGTAAAAGATGTGTGTGGTTGTTATTAATGACATTCTGCACAACTCATGAACTAATGCTACTTGCTAACAATGACCAAAAATCTAAATATTAGATAAAAGTGCCCTAAACTAATCACACCCTAGGCTTCCTCTAGTGTGAGCTGGATGGCACCATTCTACTGACTAGTGAATACAATGACTACAAAGCCCCTGAATGAAGTATCTAGGCAATGTGTTATTTAAGGTCAGAGTTATCAAAGGGAAAGCAGCTCTGACTTATTAGTTTATTACTGACCAGAAAAATGAAGGAAAAAATAGACACATTGGAAACTAGTCTCCGATTGACCATTTGTTCTAAACAGAAATCACAATCTAGTAAATAAATCCCTTTACTGTTTGCCAAAGTTTCCTAATCATCATATTTAAAGAAAAGATAAACAGATTTTCAATGAACATAAAACTGCCAATGTCCAGGATTTATCACTTTCACACCCTCAATTTAATATCAATATTGAGTGAATGTCTCACACATGATGTTGCTCCAGTTTTGGGTCATGGGGTAACAGTAATTGTGTTAATTAAAAAACAATAAAAATTAAGCCAACATAAACGAACAGAGGCAATGTATCTAGCTCAGCTAATCCAGAAATCTGGTGGGTTTTTTTCCCCTAATTTGGCTATTTTTAGCCTTAAATGTGTGAATCAATTGCCAGTTCACAATAATTCCCTATTCGTGAATAAATATCAAAAATTTCAATTTCAAACAATTAACACTTAAAAAAAAATGTTTTTGTGATCACTGTTTATAAATATTTTCCTAAATAAGTTTAATATTATCCTCAGTTTATAGATTTAGTAGAAATAAGACTTACTTACTTGCCACATGGCAATGATTTTAATTCATCAGGAAGATCTTGATAATTATAAATCATATGTAACGAGGCTGACGTTACAGAGATGATCCCTCCGATAATAAAATCGCCATCCAGGTAGTATCTTTCTGAGAGAAGTACATTCAGAGAGCAGCCTGATTCATCTAAACTTCTCACAAAATAAGGAAATGATAAGAGAATTAGCACAGCAAAGAGTACAAAGAACATTGTAGAAAATAATATAATCTGTAATTTTCTTCTTCAGTGGATTCCTGCTGATATGGGAGCTATTGATGTGCAGAGAGCTATGCCGGATGTCCAGCACAGTTTAACACATCTTGTGTGATGGCATGGCCCCCTCCGCACGATGACTGCTCTTACAGCTGAAATCAGCATATTTTATCATCCGCAGCTCTCCCTACGGTGTCTCTTCTATGTAATTAACTTATGTATCATTTATGGAAATTATACAGTACGGAAAATGCAATTTAGAATTTTAATAATTGGCTATAAAAAAAAAGTAATCCAATGAAAAACATATGTATGACAAAGTATATTATTGAAGTGGAAATCAATCAATAAATTGATTATTTTGTGTATCTGCCCCTGGCCAAATTAAAGAAACAGTGCGTGCACGCTCCCTGAAGTAATTCACACCAGACACAAGTTTCAGGTTGATGAAAAACTTGAGGAATGTTTATTCAGAGGGGATGGCAAGTCCCTTTTAAAGCAGAATTACATCATATGCATTGTCAGAGATAACATGAAATAATACTTTATTAATTGGTTAGGTGTTAAGTGGTACTCTTAATGCTCTGCCTAAATG